CACATGGTGAGGGCAATGAAGGGGGGCTAGGAAGAAGAAGCTGGGAGAGAATTCCATGGGGGAGGAGGGGTCCCTGGCTGATCTTAGACTATGGCCATCTCAGTCAGTGCAGGGTAGCTGACCATGACCGGACCAGCAGGCAGGAGATGTCCTGGCACTGCACTGGTTTTGTTAGAGGTAGAAAATCAACCCCACAGCAAAGTGTATGGGAACAGAAACAACTGCTGAGCAGAAAGTTTTGCTCTGAGGTCTGACTTGTCCTACTGAGCTCATCAAAAAGTTTGCTATATATCCTGTGGGTATTCAAGAGTGACAAAATAATGTATCCAAACATGCAAGTTACACAAGCCAGGAAAGTCAATTTTTCTCATAGACAGAAAGAAGAAGAGGAAAACAACAACAGTGGTTAGAGTCAGTCTTGATACCTCTTTCACAAACAGTGTTCTACATACTCTTGAGAAGAATTCTAAGTGATATCACTTGGAATCATTCAAGCAATTCTCCTGCCTCAGACTCCTGAGTAGGTGGGATTACAGCTGCCTTAGAATTCTAAGTGATATTTCAGTAAGATGTAAATCTCATCTAATGGCCCACAGTATTTAAAGCTGGTACAGCAGTCTCTACTTCCTCTCTTGCCATTCACAAGGGATTCAGATGATTTGTCCAAAGTTAGTGAGCTAGTGAGCTGCAAAGCTGAGCCCAGGACTCCCTTACACTTGCTGATCCCCAGCCATCATTCTTTCTATTACAATGTAATTTGTATAACACTAGTTTAACGCCACCAGTTGTCAATAGATTCTCAACATTCTGTCCCAGTAAGAGGCCAACTGTTTAAATGTTGCATTCTTATTTTGAAGGACAAATAACAAACAGAACAAAACTTTATAAAATGTAACCATATTTGGTTTTTTGAATAAATGTGAATATATTAAGAAACACATTATATGGTTTATAAAAATTCACTTAGCTCTTCCCTGCCTTGTTCCAAAACAGTATCTGGACAGTATCCAATAATTTATTTATTTATTTACTTTTTTGAGACAGAGTCTTGCTCTGTTGCCCAGGCTACAATGCAGTGGCACAATCTGGACTCACCGCAACCTCCGCCTCCTGAGTTCAAGTGATTCTCCCGCCTCAGCCTCCTGAGTAGCTGGGATTACGGCTGCCTGCTATCACGCCCAGCTAATTTTTTTATTTTTAGTAGAGACAGGGTTTCGTCATATTGGCCAGGCTGGTCTCCAACTCCTGACTTCAGGTGATCCTCCTGCCTCAGCCTCCCAAAATGCTGGGATTACAGGCATGAGCCACCTCTCCCAGCCAGTATCCAATAATTTTAAAGCCACAATATGAAAAACAAACTTGAAGATGTCTTATAGCCAGGTTTCATCTATCCTAGAAGGTAAAGGAAAGGTGGTCTAAGGCCAATAGGTTACACTACTTCTGTCTATTCCCAGCCTACTCTCCTGCAATAACAAAAAGCCTAAACAGTGAATTGGCCTGCCTGAGGTGGAGAGGCTGGTCTTTTTCCCTGTTAGCTACAACATTACTTAGATTCCTTCGTACCACTCTGGGAAAGGCATGAACGACAAAGTAAAGGAAGAACTATTTTTAAAAAAGAACCAGTAAGGATGCTAACATGAAACAAAACTTGGATTCACTCTCAAACTGAGAAGTCAGTGTTCACTTTGCCCACGGTTTTGGCAAAAGATAAAGTTGTGAATAGATTCTTCCCAAATGGCAAACAGTGATTTGATACCAGTGATACTTTGGTGTCCAAAAGAAAAAGCAGACATCAGCTTTAATTATTTTGTTGTGCTTTTTGAATTTATTTTATAGCTTCTAAGTATTAAAATATTTTAATTAAAATTGTACTAATTGAAACCTGCATTTTACCAGACTGGGGGAGCTCTTTCATGTATCAGTTAAGATGCACAGCACATCTTGTTCCCAAACAAATGACTCAGCAAATATCAGTGATATGCATACATAAAGCAGCCTAAAAGTCACATCCAAATACAATTTGCTATTAATGCCATCATGTGGCAAAATAAATTATAAAAACAACTGCATTGCTATGTATCCTAATTAAAATGCAGAATCTACAATATTTCAGCTGGTTACAAAAATGGTGCCAGAGATGCTATGCTCAGGGTCAGGAGACCCTGTCAACCTGTGTCTCCCACTTCCAGTCACCTAAGCTACCATGGAGGTCTAGTCAAGTCTCACAAAGTAGAAACCAGTTTGGGGTGAGTCTTTTTATTACATCCAGCTGTTTTCTATCCCTCCAAACCTTTTTCCCATATAGCTAACTGATTTCTTGGTTTCACTTCAAATTATTCCTGAGCAAAGACGACCACCATAGGAGAAAGATGACAACCTGTAGACCCGCTGTCCTTGTGAATGATATGCTCCAGGTGCATCAAACAGTTGTTCTCAAACCTAGGAGACACAGGTTGACAGGGTCTCCTGACCCTGACCACAGCATCTCTGGCACCATTTTTGTAGCCAGTTGAAATAGTATAGATTCTGCATTTTAATTATGACATTTAGATTTATCTCGGAAAGCCCTATCTAGACCAGTGAAATTCTACTTTCTAGGTGTGGGGTTCAGGCATTAGTGCTTTGTTTTATAAGCTGCCCCAACATTCAGTAATATGAGTTTTGCAATCTATTTCTTTTGGTCTTTTATAACTATATTGTCATTTTAGAAGCTTCCTAGAAATACACTTCTTCCAAGATATAAATAAGTACTAAACAATTTTTGCTAAAGGGGGCAGGAGAGGTTAAAGAAAAAAAAAGTCCAATCTCATTCTTATGAGACTTGACCAACTTCCCAGCTGCTGGGTCTTGTTTGGTCAATTGGTCAAAGACCGGATTCTCTTTGTTTTACTCAGAGGCATGTTTGCTATCCATGCTTAAAAGAAAATAAACATTAAGTTAAAAACAATGTTGAGTAAAAGATTATTCAACTGGGATTCACAAAATCTGGATTATGTTTAGCAGTTAATAGTTGTGGGACACGGGACCTTGAACTTAGCTCTCCATGTTTCATTTTCCCATCAGAAAAATGGAATCCTATATTTCCTTCTTCCAAACTCTCTATTAATCTGAATATCTATTTATGATTCATTAATCAAGAAGCCTTAAAGGATGTACTGTTCTTCACATTGCCAAAAATGGTGGGGTAGACTTTCTCCCTATGTACTTACACAAAGACATTAGATTAGGGAGTCCAAATTATAAAATCCTTGCAAGATTAAAAACAGAGAAAATAATTAAAGCAGAGCTGTGGGAAAGCTTTACTCAAACTAAAATACTGAAAAGTCTATGGAAGATCAATTGTTTATGATCCTATTCTCTAGAGACTGAAATTCTTTGTCTATACCGGATGGTTTTATTTGTATAAAAAAAGTTCAGCTCTAGCGAGGTGCTGCTTGCAAATTCACACGCAAATAAAAGAAACTGTATTTATGTTTGTACATATCCTTGCTCACAAGAAGGAGTTTCCTCTGTTTTTTATGGACATTTGAACACATTTTGTATTTATAATGCTAAAGAGAAGGCTCACCTCTTTTTATTTTTTATTTATTTTATTTTATTTTATTTTTTGAGGCAGAGTCTTGCCCTGTTACCCAGGCTGGAATGCAGTGGCGTGATCTCAGCTCACTGCAACGTTTGCTTCCCGGGTTTAAGCAATTCTCCTGCCTCAGCCTCCTAAGTAGCTGGGATTACAGGCACGTGCCACCACGCCTGGCTAATTTTTGTATTTTTAATAGAGATGGGGTTTCACCATGTTGGTCAGCTAGTCTCAAATTCCTGGCCTCAAGATTCTCCTGCCTCGTCCTCCCAAAGCACTGGATTACAGTTGTGAGCCACCGCTCACCTCTTTTTCAAAAGGAACAGCAGCCTCCCAGTATAACCAAGTGATTCCCAGAATATACAATTTAACACAGAAAAGTTTCTGACTTTTGTGGATCCCCTCTATCCAAGTGCATGACAAATATTTAATTCACTCTTCAATGTTCATATTCAATTCTATCTCTTCAAATAGCATCATTGAAAATTAAAAAGAAATCTCAACCCTCTCTCCAAGTGAATATTTCAAGCTGCATCCTGTGTCAACTCCTGGCACTGAGTCAGCCTTGTCAGCCCAATTTAGAGCACATGGCAGTAATCCAACTCATTGTGGCTGTTTGAGGCCCCCAGATCAGGTTTCAAAAAAGAAGGGGCAGCAATCCGGTGACCTTCTCAAGATAGTAGAGAACAACTCTGGTCATGACTGACACCTGATCTTTCTGCTAACATTAGCTCCTAACCAAAGATGGTGCCAAGCTTGTATCCAACACCAGCCCACAAACCTTTCTGCTTTCTGTCCTTCTCCAAGAGATGCGGGCATCCTGTCACCCACTGAGTTTCAGTTTTGGAATGACTATCCCTTTTAGATCCAAGGAAGTTTCGTTGTATTGACATTTGAGATAAAGCTCAAGGCCTGTCTTAATTGAGCTTTCCAGTTATTTATAATGCATACATATTTACTATTCATCGCCTTTATACTTAGAGAGGTTCAATGTGATTCATAATAAAGACATGGTTACAACGTTCTAAAATTAACAACCCCAGAATATTCATATTATAATCAGGAGATGGCATCCACTTGAAAGCTTTTTTTCTGGGCATCTCTCATCCTGTCATCCTTTCTTAAAAATGTATTACTCTTCCTGGGCTTCATGTCATCCTTCCTCCATACTTCCACTGGATCTTCAGGACTGGCTCAGGCATGGCCACAAATTGGCCCCAGTAGGGTCTGCAGAAGTAAACTTTACCTTCTAGACCAGGCCTTATTTTTCTTATTTGACCAAATACTAAGTATCAGTATAAAAACAAAACAAAACAAAACAAAAAAAACGACCTGGCCACTTGCCTAAGTTGTCCCTAAATCAGGAAGCTATTTTTAATGTGAAGAGGCCTTTAGGGAACGCTGTTGTTTTCTCATCCCTTACCTCTTATATAGAAGTCCATGTTGAGGCCTGAAGATTCTTGGAGCACTGGATGTGTTCAAAGTAACTATTGGCTTTGCCCCAGCTCTGAGTTTACACATAATATATGATTTGAATTAGTCAAGTTCCAAGTTTTCTATACAGAATTTTATCTTCTTTCTATCTCCATAAACAAACAATCTTTGAAGCTAGATAAAACGAGAAAAGAGGATGGAATTATTTCACCCTGCCTTGTTTGTTTCCATGAGGATTCTAACCAAAAGGAAAAGATGAGTCATTCAGCATCATTTCCTATGTGGTGGCTTGGACTCTGTGCTATCTTAGCCAAAAGAGGGCAGCACTCTATGGGTTTTGAATTCACGGGAAGCAAAACTTCAGTTTTTAATTGAACTCCTAAGCAAGGCATTGTACTCTATTACATGGGATAACAGAGATGAATAAGACCGCCTCAAACAAGCAGGAGCAGGAAAGAACAGTTGGGGAGAGCAGTTAAAACATTGCCATGTGTTTGGGAGTGCTAGCCTATGTCAGAAAATAAAGAATGGATGAGATTGTGAGGGTTCCTTGATGATAGGGCATTTATTCTTTATTTTAAATGCAGTAGGGAGCCTCTCAAGGTTTTTGAACAAGTTAATAATATGATTAGAATTCTGTTTGGGGAAGATATGTGTGTTAGGGATGTATTAGAGGGTTGAATCAGGGTGAGACCAAGGAGCAGAGGGAAATATGGATAGGAAAATAATAGTAGAGACATCTGAGAAGTGGCGAAGATCTAAACCAGAGGATTGGCAGAGAGAAGAGGAGGTCAGCAACTGCTGCGAGAAACCGGCTAAGCAGGAAAGATGGACTTTAACGGACTTGATATAGGGAGAAAGGGACCAAGATAAACCCAGAGTTTTATATCTGAGTCCTGGGCATACGGTAGAGCCTTTAACCAAATTAAGAAGAAAGAAAAAAACAACTGTTGGAAGCAAACATAGTGAATTTGGTTCTGAACACATTTTCCCTTCAATGACAGTGAGATATGACTAAGTTGCCAAGATATAAGGGGTACAAGATAAAAATATAAGAAGGGTATGACTCTAAGGACTACCTTGGAAAGAAGTAGCCCCAAATGCTTACCTGAAAGCCCAGTGCTGATATATGATCCACTGGCAGGTGCAGTGTTGGGCTGTAGTGGCCTGTGTTTCTAAGTCTTCTTGATGTCATCTAACTCTCCTTATTGGTTCCTTTGTTCTAATACTTTTATACTTGTATCTTATGGTAGTGCCACCTCAAATCCTTTTGTGAATAAATTGGAATAAGCAGCAATTAGTCAATCCTGATTATTACATTTTTCTATATAGACTTTAAGATACAGCCATCTTCAGTAAGCACATAGGACTCATATGTAAAATGCAGACTACTAATATTTACTGAAAACTAATATTCTAGGTAGTAAACTAAAAGTTTTATACACATCATTTCATTTTATATAATGATTAACAAAACAAGATTATGAAGTAATCATATTATTATCCCTTTTTGCAGATGAGGACATTGAAACACAATGAGATTAATACTTATTTGGCCAGGCACAGTGGCTCACACCAGTAATCCCAGTGCTTTGGGAGGCCAAGGTGGGCAGATCACTTGAGATCAGGAGTTCAAGACCTGTCTGGTCAACAAGCCGAAACCCTGTCTCTACTAAAAACACAAAAATTGGCCAGGCATGATGGTATACACCTGTGATCTCAGCTACTTGGGAGGCTGAGGTAGGGGAATCAGAATCGCTTAAACACAGGAGGCAGAGGTTGCAGTGAGCTCAGATTGCACTGCTGCACTCCAGCCTGGGTGACAGAGGAAGACTCTGTCTCAAAAATAAAAAATAAAATAAAAAAACATTGGCCAGGCACAGTGGCTCATGCCTGTACTCCCAGCATTTTGGGAGGCCGAGGTAGGCAGATGATGAGGTCAGGAGATCAGGACTATCCTGGCTGACATGGCGAAACCCCATCTCTACTAAAAATACAAGAATTTGCCAGGTGTGGTGGGACACACCTGTAGTCCCAGCTACTCAGGAGGCTGAGGCAGGAGAATTGCCTGAACCTGGGAGGTAGAGGTTGCAGTGAACCGAGAACACGCTACTGCACTCCAGACAGGGTGACAGAACAAAAGTCCGTCTCAAAAAAAAAATTAATTTGTAATATAGCAGAACTTACATTATAACCCAAGCAGTCTGAACTCAGAGCCAGTGTACCTAACCACTATGCCTACTTCCTCTCTGTCCACATTGCCTGTCTCATTATACCACCGCATTTTCCTGATTCCTCTCTATATGTCTCATGCTCCACTTTAGGATGCAATTTATGCATGTTAATAGAACATCAGCTTCTGGCGATGTGTGTTGCCTCCATATACAGAGGATAAATTAGTAGGTTTAAGAAAAGAGATGCCACTTTATTTTTCTAAAATTAAATCAAATCTACCTCTGAACTCCTACACATCACGGTAGATGAGTGACAGTTCAATACTGGTCATATGGGAGACTCAGTTCCTTCTCCCATGACGTCATCCAAGAATGCTGGACTTAGAAGATGTCAAGAAACAAATGGGAGGAAGAACCCAAGGAGCCACATTTACCCTTTTTGTCATCCAATTTGCCTGATAGTAGGTAGCCTCAGAAGGGCTCCTCAGTAGTGTTCTTTTGTCTGTTAATGAACTCAACCACTGAAGTCCTCATCACTGATTCAGTGGCACAGTTCTTAGGGTCCAGTCTTCCTGTTCACTCAACTATTACATGACTCTGGCACTATTGGCAACAGAGGCCCACTCAGATTATCTCAATTTTAGGGATGCTCATTACTCTCTCCCCTAGATAAGGCCATTCTCCTCCTCCTCCCAGCCTTGAGAATCTTCCCTTTCCTAAAAAGTCTGGCTTCAGACTTTAGAAAACAATTTTTGTCTATTAAATTGTCACTGAGGTTAATGAAACCCAGATCTCTAAGACACAAAATCGTCTCAGTATGAGAGAGAAAAAAAAAAAAGCTCTTTTACTATCGACTCCTTTACATTAGCTAGAATGAAAAATATTGATATATATTATTCTGCCACTTAACTATAGTGGAAAAAGAAAAAAGTGATGAATTAATACTAAAAGTGCCTTGTCTTCTTTTGTAGTCAGAAGTTAATCCTGGTGTGGCTAATATATTTCATCTAGCCTGATGACTCATTGCTTAGTAGAATCTGCCTGAAACAGAACATTGAGAAATAGTTAAGGTCTTGACTGGGTTTGACAGAAAGGGGTTTGCCATTAGTATAGGCAAGGGAAATGCAGGGCAACATTCTACATATTTTCCATTCTAGTTTAAACATAAACTACTTTGCTTACTAAGCAAACCTATCTAGTCCCAAGTACCATAACTATGGGGAAAAGGGACCTATTTGAAAAGAGAAACACTTTAATATACATAATAATCACCTATAAAGAGTTTCTGTGAAAGAGTCCCACACCCAGGTAGTGTAGTCCAACAGCTCTAATAGCTAGGAATATATACTATTGATAAAATGTCCTTAGGAAATCACGTCACCACTTGTCCAATGACCACAATTTGAGAAACACTCCTGTGGAGAAAGGGTCCTATTTGTTCATCTCCATCTGCCCTGCTGCTTTTTAACAGCCAGCTGAACACCTCCAACCTAAGCTCATTCATCCCTGGGCCTATCCTAACCTATTTAGTAGGATGGTGCCAAGCCTCAATCTTGATGTTCTAAAGATAAATCTCATGGAATGTTATACATTCATGTGTCTTTTACAACCATCAATGCATTAGCGACTATGAAATCTATGGCTTTAGCCCATGCTGTTTCTTGAGATCCAGATCAACATATTTAATTGCCTATAGAAAATTCCACAAAGACTACAAATTTAACATATCAGAAACTAAACAGAACTCATCATTTCCTAATATGCTCCCCCAAACAACATCCTGATTCTGTCTTTCTTACCCATTTTAGTAAGTGACATAATTATTAACCTGATTTCTCAAGACCAAAAGAAATAAAAAACCAAAAGAACTTGGAGTCATGTTAAGAGTCTTACTACTTCGAATCTTACAACTAGAGTTTCAAATCTGAGGAAACATAGATCACAAACCCTTGAATTGTTGCTGCTGTTCGCTGAGAGAGAGAGAGAGAGAGAAAGAAAGAAAGAGAAAGAGAGAGAGAGAGGATATACGACCTCAGCAGGAATATCATCTCCAGTCTAAGCTATTGCAGTAATTACCTAGTTGGTCTCCACAAGGCAATGATACATGTTTATGCAGTGCGTGCTCTGCATAGTCCCTACGTTTCACTTTGTTGATGAAGTCACCATTTATATTGTAAGCATTATAGATTTATAAATTTTTAATTTTCTCACTTTTCAGTGAAATGTCTGTTGTAATTATTGGTACAAATATTTTCCAAAAAATGAAAAAGCAACTTAAGAGGGTACCCTTCCCTGATTCGTACAGAAGTTCTACATGGGGTATCAGCAGCCTTGGGTTTCCCTGATTCTAGATTTTCTAAGCTATTCATGCATTTCTGCCATAATGATCTTTCTAAGTGCAAACTTTATTGTGATTTTTCTTCAGTAAAGTACAAAGATCTGCATATCTGCTGCAGCCTACCTGCTGATGTGAACTCCCTATGCTTTAGCCATCCGGAACTTCTTAAATTACTCATGTGTATCATTGCACATATTCAACACTTGCAATTCTTCAGCTATTAATTCCAATCTACTTCATCCCCACTGCATTCTATCTGAAAAATTTCTAATCTTCCTTCTAGACTAGCACAAGTGTTTCCTTCTTTGAGGGCTCTTTGCTCCCTCCTTCTCTGCCCTAGAAAAGCCAGCTATTCTCTTTTGTGCCCTCAGTCAACCTCTATGTTAATTAATCATACTGCATTACAATTCTTTGTTTTTTAATTGATCTCTTATAGCAAGCCAGGAGCTCCTTGGTTTAGTATAATCATGTGCTATTTAACTTTTCGTTTCCCATGGTGATGCAAATTGGTATAGATATTTTAAAGGGAACTTACTGGGTCAGTTGGATCTTACTGGCTCTATTGCTTGCTGTCTAGCATGTTCTTTCAGTTTTGTTTCTTCCTGATGGCAACTTTTTACTTTGAGCTGTGATGCTTTCTGCTGCATTTACTGAGTCCTACCAAGCCTCTGTTGTAGATTTCACTGACATGAATAGGAAGTTTTGATAACATTTAGGGACAAGAATACATGATTGGGGCTGTGTTTAAAGTATATGTCTCCTTTTTAAAATTTTCTTTTTATCCCTTTAAAAACCTGCTTTTGAGACAAGGTTTCACTCTCTTGCCCAGGATGGAGTACAGTGGTGTGATCACGGCTCACTGTAGTCTCAACCTCCTGGGCTCATGAATCCTCCTGCTTCAGCCTCCTGAATAGCTGGGACTACAGGTGCATGCCACCACACCTGATTACTTGTTTATTTTTAACTTTTTTGTAGAGACAATGTTTCACTATGTTGCCCAAGCTGGTCGTTAACTCCTGGGCTCAAGCAATGCTTCTCTCTTGGCCTCTCAAAATGCTAGGATTACAGATGTCAGCTACCACACGCAGCCTACATAAAGTATATGTCTCATTCAGGCATTGGCCCCTATTCTATAGAGTGCTCAGGAGAAAGATAACCTGTGACATATACAAGCCTACTTACACTGTACACAAACCGTTTATAGTTGGTCAGTTATGCAAGAAAGAGTAGTCACCATGTGGCATGCTGCAGCCACACTCCTAAAGCAGACAGGCTTACTAGGACCCTACAAAATGACTTTGCTGATGTTGTTGCCTATGACTTTATGGCCAAAAAATATCCTGATCCTCAGGATTATATAGAAAACACCCATGATTCTCCCATGGTACAACCAAGGCATTAATTCAAACCCGACTTAAACCTGGAGTCTCTAAACTCTATAAAGCACACATCGTCATGCAGAGGCCTCTAATCCTGATGACCAATGATTGGAGACTCTCTGGGGGAAGACACTTAAAATATGAGCATAATAGAAAAGAGAACACCTCACTCCCACCAAAGTATATTCAAAAACCACCAAAGATTGGGGGGGGGAAGTCTGCTGTAAGGTAATTATTACAGAGAGAGAGAGAGACAAGTAAATTTAAAAAGAAAAATCTAAACACAGGGACGGGGGAGGAAACAAAAAACTGAAACATAGGCCCACAATTGGACCCAATCGGAAATTGAAACCTCAAATGAAAAGAATTTATACAATCAATAAAAAGATAAAAGGATGCTAATTGGTTTTTATGCCTCTACAACAAAGCATCTAAGCTAATTACAATATCTTCTGAAATGTATCAATTGGCAAACTTTCATGATTATAATAATGGAGCTCAAACTAGTTATACCTGGGCATACTGCTAAATTTGAACAAGATAACCTCCCTGCCCTAAGGGAAGCTACTGACCATGGACCAGTGGTCAAACTCATATGCCTCACCTTAACCATCAGAACTACTGCCTCGTCTAAATTCCCCATAGTTATAGCACACTGATGAACTCCTCTTCCAAGAGAACTCATTTCGCATACTCATTCAAGAAATACAG